GGATGGGGGCACTAGTAATACCTTTTTAAAGGCTAAAAAATGTGGTCTTGGTACCTCTTAAGGTGTTCAGCCTTAAAGGTGCACAGTGGAGGAAATAATTCACTTGTTTTAAAATTGGTACCTCTTAGGGGTGAAAACCTTTTCCAATTTACGCCCACAAAACAGGATGTTGGTACCTCTTAGAGATTCTTTTTCAAAATTTCCGATGAGATGAGTAACCCCGTTCTTTTTATGTGGGAGTTCCACTCTCCCCTGGGGCCAATTACCCATGAGTGCTTGAGTGTCTGTTAATGAATTATCAGACTTCTTAGCTCCATCCAAAAGTATATCAAATATTGGGTCCAAAATAATTTTAATGATTAATTTTTACCGGTAATAATAATTTTGCCTCCTATGGTTGTATGCTGCACAAATCCAACCTCATTTCCAGGACTTTTTCCTTTCAAGGGAAAAGTACAGTTTCTTGCCACAGATCTTGTTATTTCATGATCCAAATCCAGTAGAAAAGCCATAGACAAGGCTGCTAAGGAAAAGTTTTGTTCACCTGGCTAGTGAAGAGAGCTCTGCACGCATTGCGTGCTATTGCGTGCCAACAACAACCCCGGCCCACCCCAACTAGGGTTCATTTTTGCTCTATATTTCCGCGGGTGCTCATGGGTAGCTCGTGTTTTGCAGCTTTCTCCCTGCATAGTAGTGGAGTCTTGGGGAAAAGTGCATTTTGCTCGTAAAATGGCTAGTATTCAAGCAGAATCGTCTACTGAAGAACAATGTAACAGGTAAGATGATTGTGACGTTACACTACTTCGTTTATTTCAGCGTGAACTGACAGTGTACAGCGAAATCCAAAACACGTGCCATTATACAATCACTGTAACTTTACTAAATTTATAGACCTAATTAAAATTAACCAAGAGTGTTATCACTGGCGATGTGTAAACCATACTCAAGGGCTTTGATTCTCCTTCTTGTGTGCGTATTAAACGGGGCAAATTTAAAGAGGCGTCCGAAAGCGGTCGTATTCCAGCAAGAGAGTTTTTGTGGGACTGTAATTATGTTAAGCTTAACATTGACTGAAATTTAGGGATAAGATTATTGAATTACTTATAGGGTGTTCCATTTTACATTTACACGCTTGCTACATATCTTAGCTTTTATTTTAATGAGAGGCATGGTTATTTGGCGACCTTGCACCAATCTTAGAAACCGGTGAATGACAATTGCAGACCGCAGAGCGTAGACTGCATTTACTTTTTAGGTATAAACAGCGCTCCGGTTAGTCTGAATATCACTCAGGTTCGCCTGAATAGCACTCAGGTTAGCTTGTTTATTTGGTTAGCTATTGATAATAGAGATGGGAATATTGTATTGATCAGTTAAAATTCTGCATTCTGCAGTCTGCAAATGTCATACCTCGCTTGGAAACCGAGCAGCAGTTACTCAGGGGAGGGCAATTTATACTGGGTTTGCGAAATAGTGCAAGCCAGCGAGTCATGTACGCAACCCTTCTGAATAAGATCCACAGTCTGATTATAACACTCTGGTTCATGACCCGTTGATAGCACTCTCCCATAGTTTAAATAACATTCTTGGCCTAAGTAGGCTTTGTTAGCTGGTAGTTAGCGTTTTAATTGGGTTAGGCCAACGCCATATAATGTTTCATTTTCCATTGCCCCAGTGACCCATCCATTTTTGGAAAAGTAAAAGAAAAACGAAAATCCAGATTTGTGACAGAACAGGTGACCCTTTCATATACAGTGGAACCCCGATAAGACGGTCACCAACGGGCCACAAAAATCTGGCCGTATTAAAGGGGTCCTTTAAATATAAGAAAATGACTGACTGAGCTTTTCTTTGGGCCAGAATAAATAGGCTGTAATAATGAGGTGGCCGTAACAACGTGGTGGCAATATTAATGGGGTGGCCGTTAGGCAGGGTTCTATTATACCTTAACTGAAAAAGGTGTGCCTTTCACGTACTTTTATAACTGGCCCATATTATGAATAAATTGCCTCAAAAAAGTATTCTACTTGTTATTTTCATGTAGTGCCTAATAAATTAAATGATACAGCCATAAATGTTGGCACACATGAGGGGACTATTCCCTGTGACTAGTCGCTGCAACTAGTCTCCTGAAGAGTTTACACAAAGGGACTGGTCGCAGGGATAATGATCATTTATTGAATTTCTTTAGACTCCATATTAGTGATGAGCAGCTTAAGAGGCGTATGCTGATGGCTGTTCCAAAGAAAGGGAGGCTTTATGATCAGTGTATTAGACTGCTGGAAAGAGCTGGAATAAAGGTAACAATCAGAGTTGACATCCTCACCAGCCTGTTAACCCATGTTGAGAGTTTTGTTAGCAGGAAGGAAACTGGTTTTCATAGGCAGGAAAAACGTTTTGAACTGAACTTCTTTAGAAGAAAAGCTTTTCTCTGGGTGGTAAAACCAGGCAGGCTTAATTATTTCCTCACAATAGGTCATTTTTGCACAGTGGTAGGCCTTTGTTGAAACCCCTGACTGTGTTATAGAATTTTTGGAGAGTTGGAGATGAAAGATGATCAAACCATGTCAGATTCTTGTAAACTGACTAAGATATGTCAAGTTTTCAATTTTTCCAACTCATAGATGGATATTTAATACAAGTGGAGACGGAAGCCTTTCTGCAGTCTGAATTTCCAGTAATCATTACTTAATTATCTTTGGAACTATTAAATGACATTTTGTGGAGATATAGGCCACAGTCTTGCATCCTTAAGTTTGTAATTCCAAAGCGGCAGTATATGTGTGTCATTATCCCATCAGCATTAAATGTGATTTACGCTGTATTTCAAGGTTATCAATTTGACTGAAACTTTTTTGATCTTTCTCTTTCAGTATCACAAGAAAACGCGCTTGGATTTGGCCTTGTGTACATCCCTCAACAGTAGGTCTTTAACTCTCATTCTAATTGTATGAACAGTGGAATCCCATTTTCTCGAAACCTCACTTTTGTAGAACCTCCCGATAACTCAAACCAAAAGTTGTTCCCTCTCCTCAGTTGAACGCTGTAATTTTTCCCCTGATTTCTCAAACTCTCTGATTTTTTTCGAACCAATTTTCGTTTCCCTTGCAGGTTCAAAAACTGGGGGTTCCACTGTATATCACATATACATTCAAACCCTGAAAATGTTATCAAATATTGTTTTAAATGATAGATATATATAGGTTGTCGTAAAACACGAGTGCGATTAGGGTTTACCCTATAAGTGATATTTGGAAATTCTCTAAAAATTGCATGAACCTTTAGGAGAGTGCAATTTATAAGGTTTTTTAAATATTACAAGCAGTAAGCAGTATTACATGTGGTTTACATGACAACTGATTTGTTATGTGTGACCGAAAAAATTACAAATCACTAGGCAGCCCTGTATAAATTGGTGCTGTAGCGCAAACTAAAAGTTAGCAATAAATTTGCCCACTCTCAGCCAGTCACAGTGAAGAAATTTCCTTAAGTTATTCATAACAATTTATTATTATCATGAACATGGCAACATATTAAAATAGCTGTGTACACTGAAATGACTTTTTGATTATCCAGACTGTTTACACTGGAGCTACAGCAAGTTCAGGCTGTCAAGATATGATTGTTCTGATTTTTTTATCATGACTGTATTTTATTTTTTCAGTGGCTCTTGTCTTTCTCCCAGCTGCAGACATCGCTCTTTATGTCAGTCAAGGAAGGTCAGGAAACAAATTAAATTTTACACATACAATGTACATGTGGGGGGTATATATGTATCTTATTAGATGTTTTGGTGTGTAGTGTTGCTGTATATTTGTACTAGTTGTGCCATATTTTGACAAGTCTGTAGGGCAAGTTAAAAAAAAAAAAAGAGGAGTTAAAATATACACTCAGCACTATTACACACCAAAACATCTTGTAAGAGATTTACAGTGTATTATCCAACTGCTGTAGTCAATAAATTTGTCAGCACAAGAGGGAGAGTGTGATAGTTTTGCTTGAAGCTTGCCATCTGTCAAGCAGGTTTTTTAATGGTGTACAAATAACTAACTATACAATAACACTGTCTATTTGTACTTGTTTCTCACATTATTTGGATGATATTTGCTGTACATAGTTGATGGTTTAATGGTTAAATTGCTATGTGGACTTTAAATCAAGAGATCTGGTTTAGATACTGACTGGAATGATGCTTTGTGTTGTGAATATTACTCTTGCATTCCCTTTCTCTGCTCAGTAAAGTATAAATGGGTTCCAGGCAGAACTGTCATGTTCCTGCATACTGTGATAGCCTAAAACTCTTTAAATCCACAGAGACTGGCGTCAGTATTGTGAGTTAATTTTCTCCTTTTCAAAGGTGGTGGCTTTAGACAATATTTTGATGTGCTTGTAGTATGTACATGTACTGTCTGATTATAGCAACACTGTTTTATCAGAATTGACTTGGGGATCACAGGACAGGATGTTGTGGCAGAAAGTGGAGGAGAAGGTAAATTATGTACCATAACCATTTGCAGTGAAATTATTTTAATTTGCAGTACCTGCATCTTCTTTAGAATTATAGGCACAGCCACCTTTATGGGGACTAGCCCCACAGGGCTTTCATTAAGTTTTGATCCACCTGTAGCCTTAATCTTCACAGCTGTAACAAACATATGATCTTTTGAGTGAATTGTATCAACTGAAGGGAATTTCACCTGCAGCATTAAGGGCCCGTCAATTCAAACATGCTCAGCTGACTAGCAGGTGTTATGCATTACGGCCATCAATAACAGCCCTGCCCTACACACTGAAAGTGCAAAAAGTTCTTCTTAGTTTATCTTAAATGAGTCTGTTTTAGTATCTTGTTGTAGATGTATGGGCATGTTGGTGGTGTTAATATCAATTGAGATTCATCTGTATTTGTTAAAAGCTATCTCCTTCATTTTTGGCCAGTTGAAAATTTTAAATGTTAAAGTTGTACCTTCTAGTTTGGATAACAGTACAACTGTAAACAAAATTAGTGGACAAAAAAGATATAGATCTATTCTTTAAGCACAAAACACTCAGTTGCCAAAACATTTAATTCAGTGCAAAAGCATATAATATCTGGTCTGACCATATCTTATTCTTCTCCATTTCTTTCTTCTCTTCACTAATTGTTTCAAATTGTTGTATGTGAACAGAAGGTGGAGGAATATTAACATTTTGTTTACTTTTGTGTCAAAGTTTATCATTGGATGGATTTGAATGGCATTTTTCATTATTAATGCACTTTACTCTGACTCTTATTTCAGTTCATGAACTTTTGAAGCTTGGTTTTGGCAAGTGTAAACTTGCAGTGCAGGTGAGTGAGTTGTTAATTATTAACAAATTCACCTTACTGGTCAAAATATATTTCTTATAGCACTAGCTGAGAGAATTTTTTAACTATTAACCACAGATAAATTCTCTTTGCAGATGATATGATCACTTCCATAATTCTCATGACCTCTTCCTGTTTATATATTTAATAATCCAAGGAAAAAGTACGTCAATGTTGACCATGTTTAGGGATTAGATCTAACCTTCCTATCCTTTACCTTGTCCGTTTGTGGTCAGTTTCCAAAGCCATTTCTCCCTTGGAGCCTTGTTTACTCTGCAAGAGGCAATTCCACCTGTTTCTTGTTCCTTCTCCTCATCCTCAACCTCAGCCATATGTTGCAGCAGTGTTCAACAAATTTAAAATCGACTGTTATCAGAAGTTATTGATGGGTGTTTTTGTTTAATGCATCTGGTAATTTTAATCAACACTGTTTTAATAAACAGGCAACCACTACGTCAAGCATTACAAGTGCAGAGGAACTTGTTGGTATGAACATCCATTATTCACTTGGAAACAATTTGTTATTAATAGGACTTAAGTTAAACTAGTGCTTGTTTAGGATTCACACAATGAACACCCCATTTTGAGAAGCTCACATGTATTTACTTGATTGACAGTTTACACGTATAGGAACCAGAAACTACTGAAAGTACCGGAAGTATGTTTATCTTGTAACAGTGTTGAGCTGAAAATAATAATTATCTGTTTTCAGTAACATTTTTCATTGAGATTGTAAACAGTCTCCTTCTTGCAAAGATCTTTAATACATGCTGTGAATTATAATGTTTAAATACAGATAATAATTTTAATTAAT